CTTTGTAACTAACGCACAGGTAGATTTTTACCTGAGATAACTGGAGTAAAGCTTAGATAGAGAGTGCGTTCGATACAAGCAAGACAAATTGAATGCCATTTAACCCTCTAATTAAGAGGTAAAGGAAGTTCCAGGTAGATGGATGATTAAGATAGGACTTGTAAAGGTAACGGGCATTGTTTACCTCAGTTTAATAAAAGTATGCAAGACGGAGTGTCAGCGGTTTAATAAAATAAATTGAATTTCACAAATAACATGGACCTCATATGCAATAATCAACATTTCCCTTAACTCATTCAAATGCAGTGTTTTATACAACTTGGGATAACCATAATGAAATGCTTGTTAAAGAAATGACTAGACGGGAAATGGTTTTACACAGCTTCACGAGGATTTAGACCCCTCGGGTAAGAGATTTGAATGAGTATAAACTTTTATCAGAAGCCAGAGAAGTCATCTTACAGGTGACAGTTTGACAGCTAAGCACGCTCTGTTCTCCAGTGGCTCGATTGTCGTCATTGGACCACGTGACCACATAGCTCATTAACTCCCAGGCCGAGCAAATAGGACGTTTTTTAAAGCCAAAAATTTACAAAATGAGCTTTTAATTTGTGTATTTGGATAAAGATATCGTTAGTTGGGCATGTTTTCTGAAGAATATGTTCCGTTCAGGCCATTCTGACGGCATGAAGCAAACCCTTTAAACAACCCTCTTAAACTCTTCAATACTAAATAACTAATATCTGACACTGAACTACCTTACTTACCTCCCTAAAAAGTGGATAATAAGTTTCATCTGAATTTTCTACTTCCCAGAAAGCAGGGTTATAGCCTCCTATACAGTAGAGATTGCTGTCATCGGCCACCACTCGGTGCCCGCTTCGAGGTGCCAGGTATTCCCGTGTGAATGCTAGAAAAATAATTAATCAAATAACATATAAACAATATTTTTGTATTAGAATAAAAAAGACAGATGGGTATCATATCTAACTAAAAAATAATTATATGTAATAGTATTTCCCACTATCTACATGTACATGTAGATACCAAATTTAGACCATCATACTAAATAACAGAATGACACAGAAGGACAAGGAAAGGCAGGTAAATTGAGGTAACATAGACAAAGTGGGGATGTCATATGCTTTCCTTGTCATTCTGGTATTGGATACGATTCCTATCAAGGTAATGTGTCTTGTAGTCTAGCTATCTGTCACTATTGTCGATAGAGAGAAAAAATTGACTTCCGAAAATAAAGACAAAACAAGTAAGGGGTTAAGAGAATTCTGCTGAATTTGTCTGGAAGAATCACTGTCGCCGTGAACCTCCCTTTACTCTGGACGGCGTCCATTGTGCGACCAATGAATACTGGCACCGCTGTGGTCTTTGAAAGGAGCTTTCCTTGTAGAATAAATGCTCAATGATCGACCAGTTGTCTGCACGTAAATTATTATCATTATTATTATCATTTTACTCTCAAATGGGACCATACTACACTACGCAGAAAAGACGCCCAGTGTACAGTAACGGAGGCTTAAGCGAGATGTAAACATTGGGACGCTGACGACAAAAATATCTTGGTATGTCACGGCAAGGTTAATCTGGCGTTCAATAATTATCCGTAATGAACGAAAGGTACCCAAATTGAAAAACACATGAAAACTTACGTGCATCGGTTATATCTTTGGGACATATTTTGAAAAAATTCAAGGTTTTCGTGGACTCCGTCATTATCCTGCTATATGGCTGGCTCCTACAGAGAAGCGTACCTCGAGAGACCCAAGACATGCTGTCCTCTCGAGCTATAAGTAACACTACCTCTGCCATATAGTAAACAGTTTAACTCAAAAAGTTCTGGGTGAATTTTAATGAAATTTTCAGGATAAATTAAAAATGGACTACTTAAGAATCAGTTACATTTTGGTGGTGATCCCTTGATGATTTATGTAGTTAATTGACACGCATATATACGAGTTCTTAGTACAGTATTTTGTCGTAGGCGTATTATTTTCAGAATATCAGTCTCTGGGTAAGCAAAGTGCCCTGTAGTTTTAAAACGATAGCTATAAAATGTAGTTTTTTGTCAAGTCATAGGCTACTCAGTGTACAGATGTAGGCCTACTTGTACTAAAGTAATAAATAAATGGATAATCTATTGAAAAGGGCCTATATGGACATCAGGGGCGGAACCAGGACTATTACATTAGAAGTTGACTTTAATGCCCCCCTCATGCTGAAAAAAGGGGCTATAAAAATAAGCTAGTATGATACTCGGATGAATCCAAGATTTACACGTACCAGCATAATGACCAAATTTCGACACGTTGACTGGAGCCAAATATTAACCACGTTATTTTATGAACGAAAAGTATCTCATTCATGAATAATATTTCAATTGCAAAGGTTTGAAAATTCGTTTGTTTACACTATTAATAAAATTACCCCTTTTTAATATTTTCCTATATACATCCATGATTAAGATAATAAAAATGTTAAATTATACTCGCCAAAGGTGTCATTGGCATGTTAGCATGCAAAATTTCAATAAAGTGTGTGTTTAATGTTAATGGAAGATAACGATGGCAGAGGAAGTGGATATTTTCAGCCTTTCACTACACCTGGCAATTGGAAACGGTAATACTTCTGACCCTGGCAACATGAGTTATGATACAGGTATATACACAATTTATTTATTTTATTTTATTTCATTATTATTATAATTATTATTTATTTTTTATTTTTTTAATTAAACTGACCACTGTCAGTCATTGGGTTAGAGAAAGCGTGTTGTATGTGAAAAAGCAGGTTAATATTTAAAGCGTAGAACTCATAATTATTTTTTTTTTCATTTGCGAAGCTTTATAAATTAATTTGTCCATATTAAATACAAGAATAAACCCTTAAATTGTAGGTCTGCATTGATAAAAATTTAGAAGCACTTGTTTTATAATTTATGCTCTTAAAATGTTTTTTGTAAATAATATTACAATGTTTTAACATGGCGCATGCGTACAAAGTATAAAGAGCGCGATGGAAGGGGATTTTTTCATTATCATTATTATTATTTTATTTATTTATTTATTTTTTTTTTTTTCACATTTCCCCCCAAATGTACCCTAGGTTCTAGATTTTGGTATTGCCAGCTCGATCTTGATTTCTCTCAGCAACACTGACTCTAGTGACCAGTGGCAAAAAGGGGGGGCGTGTTCGGCAAAATTTTGTGTGGGGCCCTTCCAAATTTGGAAGTCACATGCCTCGAACGTCACAGCTCTGTCCCGCTTGGAGCTGCCTTTCCCGTCTTAAGCCCCCTAACAGCTTTACTAGGCGTGGCAGGCTAGTAAAGCTTTTAGGGGGTAATTATATTTACCCCCTAGCTGATTCGGTAGGCGTGAGCAATTTAGTGAGAGTCCCTATGGAGATAGACCGATCCGGGTGGATTGATCTAGGCATGGGAACCCAGTTATATATAGACAGTTAAATTTTATTTTACCAAATGCACCACTGTCATAGTGACGAGGTTAAGAGTGATGCATGTGAAAAAGCAGATGAATACTTTCATACAGAACGGCATAAGAAAAGCAGGGTTTACGAGATTTCTCCTCATTTTGACAAACCTTACGTGAAGCATGGTCCACTCCACGTTTTACTACATCTCTGCTGTGTCCCCCGTTTAATGCCAAGGGATAAAAAAATTGGACAATTTTATTGACTCTAGTTCACTGCTGTTTCCATCAGCAGCTATGTATCAATATGTTATTTTATGAAGGAAAGATCATACTCATGATTAATTTTGTATTTGTAAAGCTTTGTAAATTAATTTGATAATACTACGTACAAGATTCAACCTTTATACTGTTGTTCTTTATTATGTATAATTTAGATAGCACAAAATTTGTAATATACACCCGAAAACATTATTCGCAAATAAAGGTAAATTTTATCATATGGAGAGTAAGAACGAGTGCGTTCCACGGTCTGTTGCTCCCGTTATTCACTGGTGCAGTAGCCAATTTGAGGCCGTGGTTTAAGCCAGATAAAACACTCGACGCTGTGCTGTACGGGAAATTTACTCGAGTGTTGTCGAGCCGCAGGCGAGGCAATACACTTGCAATATTTCACATACAGCTCGGCGTCGAGCGTTCAGGTTATACGGCACTCCCGGCCTTCCTTGTTTACTAAGTTTGAAGCAAGAAAATTTGCATATAAGAGAAAATGAGTTTATTTTTCAATTTTGGATCATTTGAAAATTTTGAAATACATTTGTTCATTAACCTTTAATTTGATGTGTTATTTTTCATATCAGGGTGAAATTTTACTGCCTGGTGCCAGTTTTACATGCCCTCCCCCCCTGCTGCATTTTAGTGCTTATTTTGGCCGACTGGCGGCAGCACCTTACGGGCCATGTCATGTCACTGGCAGGCTATCCCATTAATGTACCCTGATTTTTTTATATTGTTTAGGTCTTGAGTAGAAGTATTTAAACCTGAAGTGTTGTGTTTGTTGAAGCATGGAAAGTATTTTTAAGAGAATTAAACGTTACAATGGAAGTGAATGGGATTTTTAATAGTGGTTTGTAACCTTCTATCACCTTGAGAGATGGCGACTGAATGACCTGATTATTAAAGGGTTTGCTTCATGCCGTCAGAATGGCCTGAACGGAACATATTCTTCAGAAAACATGCCCAACTAACGATATCTTTATCCAAATACACAAATTAAAAGCTCATTTTGTAAATTTTTGGCTTTAAAAAACGTCCTATTTGCTCGGCCTGGGAGTTAATGAGCTATGTGGTCACGTGGTCCAATGACGACAATCGAGCCACTGGAGAACAGAGCGTGCTTAGCTGTCAAACTGTCACCTGTAAGATGACTTCTCTGGCTTCTGATAAAAGTTTATACTCATTCAAATCTCTTACCCGAGGGGTCTAAATCCTCGTGAAGCTGTGTAAAACCATTTCCCGTCTAGTCATTTCTTTAACAAGCATTTCATTATGGTTATCCCAAGTTGTATAAAACACTGCATTTGAATGAGTTAAGGGAAATGTTGATTATTGCATATGAGGTCCATGTTATTTGTGAAATTCAATTTATTTTATTAAACCGCTGACACTCCGTCTTGCATACTTTTATTNCACAACTTTCCTTAACTTCTACGTCTGTATAGTATGCATCATGCAGCTCAGTTGAGTCTCATAGACCTAAATATCGTGATTGTCGTCACAGTACCACGTGACCCAGATCTGTTGCTTCATTTTTGCATATTGAGGTGAGGTTTACTAAAACGCTTTTTTTTCTACTAATAGATTGTTTTTATAATTTTTAAATGGCGGGGATCGATTAAAACATACCTCTAGTGTATAGATTGAGTGCTGTATCTTCTAAATTCGAGAAATGGATTTTTACATGAACATTGTCCTTTAAGAGACTCGCTAACTGTGATACTGTGAAAGTAATGTCTGCGTTAGCAAGGAAGAAGACATCGCTTTACTTTGCCAAGCCTTAGTTAGGTATTGCATGATCCTACTCTTGCGTCTAGATTTCGGTATTGCTAGCTCGATCTTGATTTCATGTATAAACCACATCAGCAATGCCTATGTATCTTAGACATGTGCAGATATATAGTGAGAAAGCTAACTATAGTGCTCTAACTATCCGGGTACATGATCCGTGTACTACTTCATTTTCCTAATGGAGGCAAAGGGGGTCTAAAAATTGGTCAAAAATGGAAATAAATGACGACCTAACTTCCGCCAGTATTATACATCAGCCGTGTTATTTTACGAGCGCAAGACCTAACTTATGATTAATTTTGCATTTGCAAAGGTTTATAAATTAATATGTTTAAACCAATTATAAGATTCAACCCCTACACTGTTGGCCTATATTGATGAAAAATTTAGAAAGCAATAATTTTGTAATAAATTATCTAAAAATGGTATTTGCAAATAAATGTACAATATTTTAATATGGTGCATGCACACAAAGCATACGAAAAACGCAATGGCAAGGCAATTTTTTTTACAATGTTCAGAAATAGATCTTCAGTTGATTTTTTAATCTTGTTAACAATATTGATACAAAAGACTATTGCTTATTTGAATTTTATTTTATTTTAATTATTTTTTATTATTTTAATTTTTTTTATTTATAATTATTATGAATAAGGGTTGCTAAAAATTGGTCAAAAATAGAAATAAATTAATATTGTGATTCTGCCAGTATCTATATATCAGCTTAAGTATTTTAAGGGCGAAAGGGCTAACTCATAACGTAAGAAACAGCCGGGTGGTCATCATCAACCTGGACCGAAGAGCAAAGCAGAGCAGTGTTCGCGTTGGCAAAGTTGCAAACATCGCCTGACTTCGATTTGTCTTGCGTGTAGCTTGGTCCGTAGGATTCTTTTTTTTTTTTTTTTTACCCCCTCATGGGCCAAGAGGGGGTCTAAAAATTGGTCAAAAATGGAAATAAACGGTGACTATTCTTCCGCCAGTTATTATATATCAGCCGTGTTATTTTATGAGCGAAAGGCCTTCGTTGTGATTAATTTTGCATTTGCAAAGCTTTATAAATTTTACTGTCTATATTCTGTATAAGAATAAACTCTAACACTGTTGCTCAATATTAATTTAAAATTTAGATAGCTTTAATTTTGTAATTAGTTTTCTTAAAATGTTATTTGCAAATAAAGTTGTTTTAAGATTTTAATCTGGCGCATGCGCATAAAGTCGCAACTACGCACAACGAT